CTTGAGTATATTAATTCGACGTTTTAACATTACGTTTATTTTTTACTTGTGATTTTTTTATTTTTTTAACAAACTCTTTAAGCAATGGTCTTTTAGACCCCTCCAGCCATTGCCTAGGTGCCCTGTTGTGGTTTTACTGACCCAATAGCATGTTACATTGTAGCTGTGTCATTGGAATTTGACTTTGGTTTGTTTCCATGGTTATCCTGATCTCAGTGCTTTTTACATTTTGGCCTGGCTCAACATTATCCTGTTTTCTCCTGCTTTTGATCTTAGCTTGTTCTCTGACTTCTCTCTGTTAAATTCAGCCATTCTAAGTATCGTTCATATGGGCTATTCTTGGTGTCTTTTTATGTTTCCTTGAGTCATGTTAGGGTCCTCTGATACCATGACATTTAGATGCACACTTGCCAGCAACCAGAAAAGTGAAGTCTAAGAGAAGCATGGGAGTGAGTACAGATGGATACAACCAGAGTGGGAAGCGTGATGTAAAGAAAGTTGAATGGCAGTGGTGGTAGAAGAGTGGAGAGAGGGGGAGCATGAGTTATAATATGTGGAGCATGGCAACGCTCTGAGCTTGCAAGAGGAACATTCAGAATCCGGTGAAGCTGCAGGGAAGAGCCTCCAGATCCTACTTACCTCTTCTCTCCAGTAAAGTGAAATCTTTGATCTCCCCACTGATCTATGAAGCCACACAGCAAGGCCAGGACCTGAATAGTGCTGGGTCTTCATGAGCCATCAGGGGAGATTCCTTTGATCTACCCTGTCGGCCACAGCCTTTAGTTACCAGGGCCCACGAGGCAATTGCCAGTTGGCCCAATGGCCAGTGTGGGCCTGTTCCCTACCAAAGGAGGGCTGGTAACTTTTGGACAACAGGAAACTGGTGTACATTATAAAATACCACTCTATTAAATACGGGCAATTATATAGTTTAACTCTGCTATATCAAAACAACACCAGCTGATTGGACAATTCACCCCTTTGAAGCTCATAGCAATGAACAAAAACCTTGGGGAATTGAGACGCCTGAATCCATCTCTTGTGAGAATATGGATTAATAAGATTGTTCTGGCATAAGATCCATTTACCTTTCAACACTTTTGTAACTTACCTCAAGCCATTAGTTCAGCCCTGCAGCAGTTACAACAAACATCCACCTTTACACCCATATAATAAAGCCTTTGCAACTAGAATTCTGTATGTTGCTAAACACATTATACCCAACTTTTGCAAACAGACACTCTATCCCAATGTGGGACAAAATTGAATGAACTGCCTTCTGGTCACATTGGATTATCTCACCAACTGACTTATTATAAGTAATTTTGCTCTAATGGGATTCCCAGATCAGAACATGATATATGTTGTAGAATAGTACTTAAAACCCCTTATTTCTCCTGAATGCTTTCTCAGCAACAGTTTAGATAGGCCAACTGAAACCAATATACTTGGCTGCAGTAACTGCTGTTTGAATTAAATGCTTTGCACCTAAAACATCCAATGCTGCCTGAATGTTATCCTGTAAATAACATGATAGATGTCACCTAGCCCAAGCTAGTGGGACCTGCTTTGCGAATGTGGCCAAGTAAATTATTGGTTCCGGGGCCCCAGTCTATCCCCTGAGCCCTAGGCAGTTGCCTTAAGTCACTGTGTCGTTAATCCTGGTTTGCTTAGTTTTACATGGCACGTTTAGCTAAGAAGGCTGTTTATTTCACACTTGACTACATTTCATAGAAACAGTTGTATAATAATCAGCCTTTCCATTCTGCTACAAGTAGTCCTAAAAGGTGCCTTAGCATTGTGATTTAATGCCTGCTCTCATAGCTATTTTTCTTGGGTGTCTCATATCTCTTTTTTTTTTGGACCCACAGCTTTTTTGGACATTCCGTTGCTTTCCACCTGCTTGTGACTCTTGCTTCTTGAATTTAGATTATAAAAGATTGCTTCCTTCATGTGACTTTCTGTATGGTTTACTGACTTTAAATTACATAGAAACCTGTTTCCTGAATTAAAGACTTCTGTAAATACTGCTGGATAAATTATCCGGCTCATGGAGCTAATGTCCGTTATGCACTATGCATATTACACTCTACAAGGCCTACACATATTTATTGCTCTGTTTCTGCTACAGATCCTGCTCCCCCAGAAATTCACCATTTTGTCCTTTATATTTATTTGTGTTTCTGAATTAAGGAAGCACAGATCCTGACTCAATCTAGATGCTGCTCAAGTCATTCAAGTGATTGTGTCTTGCTGCAGTAAAAAGAGTCCCTTTTATTGAATTTAAGAGTTGTTTTCCAATTACGCTGTGATGTCATTGTATATACACAGATCTGCTCTTTCAAACCATAGAGGGAGTAGACAAAGAGCAGTTCATGCAACAATTAGCTACTTGTAGTATATGTGTCAAAAGATTTGGCATCACTATCATTTCTAGCGTATAAGCCTGGCATCATTCCATATTCTATTCTCTCACCCATTCAGATGTATGATTCTGCTGAACTAAGATAATAGTTTTCAATGTTAACAAAAACATAGTATTGTGTTTTTTGTTTGTTTGCTAGTTTTTACTGTTTTTTCATAAAGTTGCAAGACATGAAATTATTTTACAATTTTACTGTAGTTATTTTTTAACTGGCACCTCGCCAAACAATTTTATGGGCATGAACATGTGATGTGCTGAATGAGGACTGGAAATTCTTGGGACAGACTCCAGGCTCCTAATAAACACATGCAGAGCATCTCATCGGTCAGAATTTCTTCTTTTTTTAGTTTTATTTTTTTTAAAACGTTTAAAAGCATGGTAAACATTTTTTTATAAATAACCAAAGGAAATTTGCTGTACATATTCCTGGTTGTTTACGATATGAGTTAAAACGTCTAAATCTAAACTACAGCTTTGTGATGATAAAAGTTTAATAACTGCTCCTCCTCCACAGGCAATCATCTTTTAAAAATGCATCATATTTATCATTTAGAAAGGTGTCTTAAATCCACTTGTACTATAGTGGAGTATACAGCACAAAACAAAAAGAGAATGGGAGGATGCAAATTCTCTTTTTATTTTGTGCTGTAAAATTTAGGGGTTATCCCCCAAACTAGGAGGCAATTTGCAAAACTTTTGGCTCCAACTTCTCCTTTTTTTCTTTCTTTTATCTTCCACAAATTACAGTATAGTGGAGTATAGTTTAAGATGGATGAAACTTGACTTAAGGTAAGTGATTGTTGTCATCCTACACTTTATGTGCCCCATAATATGCATTTAAATCGGAGAAGAGCCTGTTGGAGCGGTTCAAGCATTCAGTAATGCAACGCAATTTAAGTAGTACAATTCTCTCGTATTTGCATTTATGTTAGAGGCAGGCTTCCTGTTATAAACTGATCTTTTATTTGCACAAACCAGCAGAGCCTCTCCTAAGGTATCTGGCTTGGAATTTAAATACTTTATCATTCTAGCAAAGTGGACAACATTTCTTAGAGACAATACAGACACCTAAAGCACTTCAGATTGCTATACTGCTTTATGTTTTATTTCATTTTACAAAAGGTTCAGATTTTAATAGAAATTAGCACATTTATAAATTAACCTTGTTACACCCCCTGGCTGTCAATCAGACAACTGGTCTTGTTACTTCCTGGTTGCTTAGCCCAGTGGGGCTAAACTCAAGAGACAGGTGTTGAAAGATGTTATACTGCTGCTGTTGTGCTGCTATTTACTGTGAGGATTGTTGGTAAAGTGGTTAAATCCAAAGTAGCCAAACTGGAGGCATAGCTAACTTGGAGAATTTTTCCAGTTTGGCTTTTTAAACCTCAAATTTAAAATTCACGTTGAATTCCTGTCAATTCTTACTTTAGTGAATAACTCTGTGTATGTTTTGTATCTGAATGTTGGCTGGGACCAGGCTAAACAGTTAAAGCATTCTACAAAAAGAGTAATGATCTGTGAATTACAATGTAGAAGTGTGTACATATCAGCAATACCGGTTTAGGTAGGAGTCCAACTTACATTCATTAGGACTAGCTAAAGGTCTTGACTGGATTACAGAACTGAAACACAAAACAGAGCTGGACTAGATTAGATTACTTAATTTGAATGTGATGTACTTGAGAGCCTGGAACTTTCACAAGTATTTATTTAAGTTACATTGGAGCGGGTGTTGGTATAACTGATACTGGATGTCAGAAGCTAAAATTGATTGTTTATTTAACTTGATGTTGAAACTGGGTTTTATAGATAGCATGTAGTATGACTAGGTTTTAGCGTCTAGAATTTCATCTGAAACGATCAACTATCTCTCTTCTCTGAGAATAGTACGGCATCGCTCCATGCTTTTCAAGGGTTCATGAAGTACAATGGTCATCAAGGGTATATCTGCCTAAGAGTTACTTAAAGGGATACTGTAGTAAACAAAACCACTTCATTTAAATGAAGTGGTTTGGGTGCAGTGTCCCTGTTCTTTTAGTTTTTTTTAGAAACTGCAGTGTTTGCAGTGTTTACATTGTAGGGTCAAGTCCACCTTTAGTGGTTGTCCACTATGACAGCCACTAGAGGCGCTTCTGCAGCACTGACCAACTAAAACTTGGTCACGTGACATGGAAACCTCCATAGGAAAGTATTAATTTCCTATAGGGAAATGTAAATGTGTGGCTTTTGCCACGCATGTGCATTAGGTTCATAGGCATGCGCACGGCGTGTTCCGGGTGTGCCTAGGCACACCCTAATCCCCACGGCACGCGCTATGTGCCTCCCTCTGTGGGCCGGTGAGGGAGATCAAAGATCTCCCACACGACCCACAGGCAGGGAGGGAAGCAGGAGAGGACACGGGAGCTCTTGTCAGCAGCTCCGCCAGGTTCCTCTCACGCGGTCGGAGCGTTGCCGCGGCTCAGATCTCGCGAGAGTGAACTCTAGCCCCACAGGGTGCTAGAGTTTACTCTCCACTGGACCACCAGGGAAGGCAGGAGCACGGTCCCCCCTCCCTACATAAGGTAAGAAGGGAGGGGGGGATATTAACTAAACGGCCCCCACACATTACACACAAACATACAGCACACACACATACATCACCCTTACACACACAGCACACACACACACTAACAGCACCCTCACACTAACAACACCCTTACACACACAGCACCCTCACACATACACACACACAGCACACACTAACAGCACCCTTACACATACAGCACCCTTACACACACAGCAACCTTACACATACACACACAAAGCACACACTAACAGCACCCTTACACACACAGCACCTTCACACACACAGCACCTTCACACACACAGCACCCTTACACATACACACACTAACAGCACCCTTACACACAGCACCCTCACACATACACAGCACACACAAACAGCACCATCACACTAACAATATTTTTACACACACAGCACCCTCACACATACACACACACACAGCACACACTAACAGCACCCTTACACACACAGCACCCTTACACATACACACACTAACATCACCCTCACACACACAACACCCTTACACACACACAGCACTCTTACACACACAGAACCCTCACCCACACACACAAAGCACGCACTAACAGCACCCTTACACACACAGCACCCTCACACACACACACTAATGGCACCTTTACACATACACACACACAGCACACACTAACAACACCCTTACACACACAGCACCTTCACACACACAGTATGCCCACACACACAGCGCCCGCACACTCACACAGCGCCCGCACACACACACTGTGCCTTCACACTCAGCGCCTACACACACACAGGGCCTTCATACACACACAGCACCTACACACAGCGCCCTCACTCACACAGCAGTGTGTGTGTATGTATGTGTATATATGTATATATATATATATATATATATATATATATAAAAATATATATATACGCGGCGTGTGTGTTTCTGCTTTAGGGTGTACACCCTTATACAATAGGCTGCTCATGCCTATGATTAGCTTCCCAATGCTCCTTAGAGGATTTTTAGATTGGACCACTGGGTAAGAAGTATATACCCTTGATGTCGCATGAGGCAGAGACGTCAGAGTACTGAGGGAGCCTCGGTGCTAGATAAAGGTGGGTAAAATTTATTTTTGTTACATTTTAATGCATGGGGAGACCTCAATACATGTAGGAGAAGGGACATTAGAAATACAGGTTTGTATATACCCATAGATATAAGAAAATAAAAGTCTGTTGCATCCAAAGAATGTCTGCTAAGAAATGTTGTCCACTTTGCTAGAATGATAAGGTATTTAAATTCCAAGCCAGATACCTTAGGAGAGGCTCTGCTGGTTGGTGCAAATAAAAGACCAGTATATAACAGGAAGCCTGCCTCTAGCACAAATGCATAGGGGATTCTAACAGGAACATGAAATTTGCTGGTTATTGTCAGACAATCCCTAGAGTTACATAATATTTAATTATTTGCAATAAGTGTATACTATTTTATCATTTACAACAATCGTGAATAAATAACGCATATACTGTATATAGTGTTCCCTCTGCACCTGATTAATGCTCAGACTTTCGCCTGAAGGAGAGATGCAGAGCGGATGGGCATTGTCTTTGTAATTCTGGTGTTAAAACGCTCAGAAGCGGTATAACTCCTTAAGATAAAACAGTGCCCAGTACTAGCAGGGGAACAACCAGAGCCCCCACACACTAATGGGGCCCATCAGGTGGCCCTAGCTGCCCCTTGCCACCCGATGGACCCCCTTAGTGTGTGGAGGCATGTGTCATCAGGGACCCAACGTGCTCTGTGGCAACCGGGCCTTCTTATACCAGCAGCCAGTGCTGGGAGGAAGTAAGAGCTGGTCATTTCCTCCCAGCTACATAGAGAGCCATGCGAGTGCAGAAGGCAGGTAGGAGGGGTTCACGGATTGGGAGAACCAGCTTATAAATCCCAACAGCCTCAGCCAGCACCCAAAAGGTGGCAAATAGGAGGTGGATACAATCAGTATGTGTGTTTTTTGACTGTCTGTGTATCTACCTGCATGTGTATCATTGTGTGTTTGTGTCCTTGTATCCGCATGTGTGTCAGTGTTTGTACCTGTGTGTCAGTGTGTCTGCATGTGTGTAAGTATGTGTATATCTGTGTATATGTATGTGTGTATTACCATTACTTACCATTATACACACTTTTTAATTTAATATGTTAAAAAGAAATCTGTCACAGAGTGAAGTGCTATAAAACTAAAATGGCATTTTAGTCAAAAGACTATGCCTAAAACAAAATCGAAATTTGCCGCCAAAATTAACACTGATTATGTGAAATCCTACAAAGCTCCCTCCCAGGAGGCAGCACTGGAGGACGTGATATCATCACTTACTGCCATTGTTACCATGGAGCTGCTCTAACTGGCAGCTGAGGTACTGATGTGGGACAATGTGTAGATGGACTGGGATAGGACATGCTGTATAGCTGCCCTTCATCTGTCACACTACGCTGCCTCGTAGGATTGCAAGGTGCAATAAATGGCATGTGAGGTAAAACTGCCCGGCGGGATATAGGGTAGGGCCAGGGTACATTTATGGCTAGTTGTTTTGGAGGGAAGATGTTGGGTATAGGTATTTATCAGTCTCTAACTGTGTGTTTCACTCGCTGTTTGTCAGTTTGGCAGTGTATGTGTATCTATTGTGTGTGAGTGTGTATATCTGACCATGTGTCTCTTTGACAGTGGGTCAAACTGTATGTCTGGCTATGTGCATGTTTCACAAAGTGTGCGTGAGTCATGTGTGTGTGTGTGTTTGACAGTGTGTGTGTGAGCTTGTGTTTGACTGTGTGTCTATTTAATGCTGTGTGTGTGCCTCTGTGTGTGTGGAATGTGTGTCTGAAGGCAGGCATCTGTGTGTGTGTTTCTAACATTGTGTACTTATGTATGCAGCCATATGTTTGTGCATGACATTGTGTATTTGTGTCATGCAATTTGTATGTGTATAATATTTTATGTGTGCATATATGTGTGTGTGTGTGGCGCTAGGTGATTGGGCCCAGCCAATATTTTTTTAAGGGGCTCTGATATTTCAGATGCCATCCCTGTCCCAAATAGACATATGTAAAGCCAGAGTAGCAGTAATGAAAGCATAGCTGACTTAGAGGTTTTTTCCAGTTTGGCTATTTTGGCCTTAAATCTTAGATTCACTTTGATTACTCACTGTGACGAAACGCCTTTTGTCACCGGATTTTCCCCTGGCTGTTGGAGGAGCCTGATTGCCAGCCTCTTGCCTCATGACTATGGCCCTGGGTTTTTGGCCCTTCAAGTACAATATTTGGGCATATTGGATTTGTATGGTGCTGCTGCTGGCCCTTTAAAAACCATCCCTGGACATATTATGACTTTTAGGAACAATGTCCCTTTAAGACTGTGTAGCAGATTGCATTCAGGCGGTCTGCAATATTATATATGCTATTATGTGTTCGGTAAATTGGAAATGTGTAGGTTCTATGTGATAAATGTAACAGTATGTATTTTTATGTCTTTTGTTGTCCTTTGTCTGCTATGTGGCTAATGGAGTTTTGCCTCTGTCCTTGGAGATAATTGCATTACTTCTCAATTATCTCCAGAATAGAAGACTCTGAAACCAGTTTGGGCCAGATTTCCATGCTGCCAGCCAGGCCCCAAAAGATACTTGTGCTAACTTCTGAACCCCTGGTCTGATTCAGGCCATTTTTTAATATGTTGTTCCCCTGAATGGATTGATTGTGAATATATAGTTTTATGTGAATGTGATGTATAGTTTTAGAGTTATGAAAGTTGGGTAAAAAGTGTGTTTTAAAATGTATGGATAATTGGGTTACCTCTCAGGCTAAGGGGAGGAGATGTGTGGGATGTAACCATTGTGTGATTGGTTGTACTGTGTCCCACCCAGTGGGATGTCCCCTTGCATGGGGACCTGCATAAAAGAAGGTTCTTTGTGTACCAATAAACAGATCATCTTGTACCTTCATGAAGTTTCGGCTCATGTTTGGGGGATTGGAGAAACTACACTCTGGGGATTGCTATAATCACTATACTCCCCAGGGTATAATCACTAAGCTCTGCTAAGAGCTTGTTCCTGTTCCTGCTCTCTGGAATTCGGAGAGAGGTCGACCTGCTGGAAGCTGGACCCTGGTCCTGGGTCCAGAGTGGGTGAAGACGGCGAGACCCCAACCAAGCTGCGGCGGTTCGTGGGGTCTGCAGTGGTTATGGTGTCAGGCAGAGTGCTTGGAGTCCTCGGAAAGCACTAGGAGCATCCGTCGGCGGAAGGTACCTGGTCGGGGTGCCAGCGGTTCCGTTACACTCACTTTAGTCAATAACCGTGCTACTTTTAAAATAATGAGTAGGATCTTAAGGTAGTCTCGACTACAAGTGAGGCCAGTCACATGACAAGGGAGGTCAGTCACATGACTCCCAGAATGCTAAATAGGATACACATATTTTATCTTGGGGACTGTGGTCCCAATAACGATATAAATATAAAGATAAAAATGAAATGATGCAGATTGCATCTAGTTGAATATAGAGAAGAAAAATAAACAGGAAAAAATAAACAGTGCCATAGGAATGATAAGAGAAATGTTAACGGACATTTATGAGATAATATATAACAGAAATGTAGCTCTAACAAATAAATTAGAAAGTATATACAAATCAATAATAAATAGGAAAACATATGGATAACACATAAAATATTAAAATACTGAGAAACAATACTGTATGAACAAAACTTAAAAAGGGACCATCAAAACAAAAATATAAACCGAATAAAAAATCAAAAGACAGAATTAAAAAGAAAGAGATCATAAAAAGTTATGCAAGTCAAAATCAGCATTTAGGCCATGGGGGGCTAGGGTCTGCAGATTAAAAACCAACTCCATTTCCAATCTGCCTAAAATGTTTTTAATATTTCCACCTCTCCATGGTATCTTAAATTTTTTTTATCCCTATACATTTGAGACGTTTGAGATCTTTATTGTGATTAATAAAGTGCTTTCGATTCAGAGTGGTTTAGGTATCCATTTTTAATATTTCTACAAATGTTCCCCTAGGCTTGTTCTTAGGCATCTGGTGGTCATTTCTTCATACTGGAGGCCACATGGGCACTCCAGTAGGTAGATCAAATTTTTGGTGTTTCACCCAATAAAATCTTTAATGTTATAATTTTGTTGGTTCTATTCGATTTAAAATGGGTGACTTTAGACTGGGTGCAA